AGTGAACAGCAACCAATAGTTAGTACAAAATTGTTCAGATCAACAGCCTTATTTTACTTACTTGTTATACTGTGTAATTCTTTTTTGCTCTGCCAATAGGTACCTTCTCATTTTATACAAACAATGCTAACAATATCCACATCTAACAAAACTAGATATGTCTTGACCCATTTTCATATGGACATAATAGCTGCAGAAATGCATAAAAAAATGAGCACAGACATTAAATACAGTCTATTCCTAAGAGTAGAGGGCAATACAATATCAAATACTATTCTGCAGACTAAAAATGAGGTACAGGCTCTTACTGACTCTGGTAAAACCCCCCCCCCAAAGTGTTATACCAGTTCTGAACCAGGGATCATTATTGTGAACCTACCATCCTCACTGATTCATCAACTGTATCCTATGATGGCCATTATTGATAGTCATCTTAATATCATCTACAAAGACTGATACCTTTTTCTAGTTGCAAAGCAATCCAGTCACATTACATTGAATGTGACTTAGGATCAAGAGTATATATTTTTCTGTTTTGTACAAAGTGATTTTCTTAACACTAATCGACTTTGTCAAGGAAGTGCCTAGAATACACAGCAAAAGGCCTTCATATTTTCCCTGCATCTTGAGTTGAAAATGACAAGACCATACAATAAAAGGTCCCCTTGGCATGCACCTAACAACTGCTGAGTCCTACTTATCCTAGTAATTTTTCAGACAAAAAACTTTTGTGAATAGTAATTTCTAGAAAACTTTTGTTATTACTATACACCTTTAGATTTCTGTCACATTTTCCAGCTATTGCAACACAACTGACCCAGATAGTTAAGCTTCTGTACCTGCTTATTTTGATATCCTAATACATAGCTCACATCTTGGGGTGTCTCTTTTGTTGATAACTATATGACAATATTTAACCTTCATACCCACCAAAAAAAGTTTTTCCTTTGACACCGCGATAACTGTATACATTTTTGACTCCCTTGACAATGTTTGTTTTAAAAAGCAATGATTATAATTTGAATAAAATTCAAACATATGAAAAATTTATACATTTTATTTTTTTTTGATAACAAAAGTATTAAACACTATTTATTTGATTGTTTATTTACATGATTATAAAAATATATAAACCAACTATGATGAAATATTTATTATTTACCATTTCATCAAGAAATGAATATGAAAAGAAACTTTTTATTCATAAATTTATAAAAATGTCTGAACAAGAAAATTTAAATAAATGCATAACAAGTAACTGTATCAAAAAAAAAAAAAAAAATGTATTTTCCAGCCTTTACATTCATTTGTTATTGCCACATATATTCACTAAAATAGGTTATGTGCATCTTCTTCTGAAAAAAATAAACATACTTTTCATTTGTTTGTCATATGTTTATCCACATTTTCTTGTTCTATCATTATTTATAAAATAAAATGGTGAATAATACATTGTAGGTGGATTACATATTTTGATAATTTTGTAATTTTTATAAATTTTTGAATAAAGATTTTTCAAACTCATTTCTTTATAAAATGGTAAATAATAAATCTTTATAAAAGGCAACTAATAAATATTGCATTGTACTTATTTTTATAATCTTGTAAATAAACAACAGTATCAAGAGAATAACCTTTCTTTTGACACACTGTTTATTTGCAGGCACAAAGATTAAACATTTCCAACTCTACATTGTTTTATTTCAGTTAATAGTTCATTACTAGTTTGTCTAAGAATTATTTCAGCTCCCTTTCAGAGTTTGCCATCACAATATCATTCACATATCTTATGTTGTTAATATTATGTCTGCTAATAATAAATCCTGGTAGGTCTTCTAGTTCTGTTAAGAATTGCATAAATCAAGAAAATACATCCAGCAAAACCAGGACAAGGAATGGCAGGATAGAAAAAAAAATGATTTTTGTCAAAACAAAGCAGCCATTATAAGTTCAGTTTATTCTAGGTTTGATGAAATCAGTTGCTATTAAAAGATAGATTTTTTTAATGAATTAATTCATATTTATTTGTTTGTATGTAAACTGTCATAAAGTCTTTAAAATGCTGATAAAAATATTTTGTTTTACACACTTCAAATTTTTCCATAAGGTAATTTTTTTTTCCTTAATGCTTTCTCTAATCACTACAAAACATTTTAAGCTTGATTTAAAGAAAGACAGGTTACAGTAGTTAAAATTGTTAATGAGCACTAATATCTGTATAGTTACTGAAGAGAGTTACTGAATGAGATGGTTGTTTGTGAAGTGCAAGATAAGGTAAGGTCTTGTTTACCGGCACATCAACCTGATGCGTCATTTCATGCCAAATTAAGTATTTTTTTCACGTCAAGTAATTTATATATATATTTTAAATCGTTTTGTTTTTAATTCTGTAGTGTAACTGCTTTGTAAATATTTTAGAGATGTAAATTAATTTGTATTCGTAAACAAGTATTTTGTGGATTTTTTTTAAAAATAGTATCTCGAAGTTTTCTAATATTCATTTTCGGTTATGTGTGTATCCTTTCCATTCTATCATTTATGTGTTTTATAGTTAATCAGAGACTACAAACAACGTGTACATCGGATGTTTTCAGCCATAAGGATGAGATATGCGCGTCAGATTCAAACCCAGGTCAGTACAGTGCAAGGGTTCCGCTGCAGTCCGAAGTCCAACTGTCAGTATGATTTCATGAAATTTAGAGTAAAAGTGCACTTAGGTGAAGAAGATTGTAGTGATGGGGAAACGATTCTAGGGAGTCTGTTCCACAATAAGTGTGCGTGCGTGCGTAAAATCTGAAATATTTCACATTTTTTCGCCTTAAAAATGAAAAAAAAAAGTTCGCTATTTTACACAGGTTGTGATTGAGCATCCATAGAATCATTTAGAGAGTAAGCTAAGTTACAGTGTCAGTATATTCAGGTGTCGGGAGAGAATTCGTCTCTATAAAAATATTTTGTCTCTCTAGGCTAAGTTAGATGAAGGTAACAACGCCTGTGTTATAACAAAAAGCTACAAATGAATTACATTCAATACAACAAGTAGTTTTAGTAGTGTATGGCATAATCGAAATGGCTTTAATTCGAATTTTAGGACTAAGGTACAAAAAATAAATAAATAAAATAATGCAAATCAACAAAGTTGTCCTTTTATCGTACAAGCACAAGAAAGAGTCGACTCGCTATTCAAACTAAAGCAAATTGTAAATCCATTTTTAAACGAAAGCAACGAAACCTCCTTCACAGTGGCGAGAGTAATTATTTACAGGTGAAGTAACCAAAGTTGAATGAGAGAGAAATAATAGAAGGATTGAGTATTTGAGAAAACGTAGCTGTGTGTGTGTAGAGAGAGAGAGACTGGACAAAAACCTGGAGGGTAACTTGTTGTCAACCAAAAACGCAACTCCTCTAAAAATGGGTCAACATTTATTTGCGAAGGTAGAAGAAACAAACTGTCACATTTTGGTACACTCATTTAACTCAGTTTTTATTAATGCTTTTTATTTTAACATTTTCTCTTTAAGAAGCGCCTGAAAGATTATTTTTATGAAATGCGAAGAAAATGTTTCTGTTTATAAAGAAAAAAAAAACTGAGGAAGTTAGGTAATATGTTTCTAATCATTAATGAAATACCTTTTCAAAACAAGGAAAATAAAAAGTTTCCTACAATACAATGTGATAAACTAAAGGTTGTAAAAACATAAAAAAATCTATTACCTAGTTATGTTTCTAAGGAAATAACGTTTTAAAAATTGTGTTTTTATTTTTAAAGCTAGAGCAGAGAAAGGTATTTTAAGATCCCGAATTACACACTAAAAATGCTAGAGTGTCTCCACCATACACAGAGGAGGGTGAAGAAGAAGAAAAAAAAAAAAAAACAACTTGAGTCCGGACTTTTTTTTTTAAACTTGTCGTTAAAAAATAAAATAAATAAATGAGAAAATTTTAAACATCCAACTAAACTAAAGCGATAAAAAAGTGGTTTCTTTTGATTTCATTTTTGAGAGAGACGGAGAAAGAAAAGGTTTCGTTTATAATTACATTTTTATCCAAATAAAAATAAAACAAAACTAAACAGAAGTGGGTTGACAATTGTATAAAACAACAACAACAAAAATTTAATTGCAGAAAAGCTGTTATTTGAATGGAGAAATAAAAATCTGAATTTTTTTTTTTTTTTAAATCGTCAATTTTTTTGACAACTCTAATAAATTCTCTCTTACACAGTGACAAGAAACAAAAACAATTTAAAGAATAAGAGTTTTTTTTTAATTTTTCTTACATTTTGTTTATTATGACTGTTTTAGTTTTCAGAACTTTTGCCAATATCAATCAAATTCATATCTTATTTAAAACACCCCGAGGTTGGGCGGTGAGGAAATAAAATCCAATAGACCTTTTCTTTATGATGAAATAGCAAATATTTAGAAGAATAAAATCACGTGATGATGTTGTCATAAATGGGTCTGTAAATAAGCAAACTAATATTGCTAATCTCCGAAAATTCTTCATGAATTAAGTTGTTCTCTTATTAAAATTAACTATTTTATTTTTAATTATTTATATTTTCAAGCGTCAGTTCCTTAATATTGTTATATTAAAAAAATAAAAATTAAACTTTGCAGGGGATAGTACGTTTTCTTGACAACATAGAATTTGATTTTCACATACAACACAAAAAAACATATTATTGCTGCTCATTAGCGTTACTTCGTTTTTAGTTTTTAAAAAAGCGTTGTCACTTTATCAATGACTAAAAAAAATAAGATCAGGACTATCGTCAAAGTAAAATCAATTCGCAGTTCATTTTTCAACGCGCGCAATTAATGTCTTTTTTTTTTTTTTTTTTTTTTTTACTTGATTTCTAGTACCTTAGGAATTTTTTGGAAGAAAAGGATTTGTTTTGTTTTTTTTACTTGGAAATATTTTGACAACCTTACTTTATTGCAGTCTTTTCAAAGCAATTTTATTTTTTTAAATAAAATGAAAACAGAAACTCTTACCAAATTTGTCCGAATTTCCTCTACATCTTTAATCTTAGTTTCACAATCTGTCATTTCTGTTACTTTATTTCTAAGCTGTTCTGAAAGCGAAATGACTTCACTTTCCTTCCTGGCAATTTCGTTCTTTTCCATATCCAAAGTGCTTTCGCATTTTTTGAGTTCCTCCACGACAGTCGCACCTCGCCTCTCGGCCGTCATTCGCTTGGACATCGAACGCCGCACCTGATCCTGCAGGTCCACAATTTGTGTAGCCAGTTCCCTATTCCGGTAAGAAAGGCTCCAATAGTTAAAACCGAGGATGCACAAGGCCACACACAACCCGATCAAGAGAAACGGAGGAGATCTTCCTTGCGGTCTCATTGCTCCACGTACATTCCCCGCCATGTTAATATGAAGCTTTTGGATCTACCGTCAATCGTTTCTATTTCAAGCTTCGTCGTCACTGGTTGGCTGATTTTCTTCGTCTACGGAAGCCCGATAATGCCGTAAATTACATCTATCACAAGTGTTATTTTGGTAACCAAAAAAAAAATAAAATTATATTACTTCTTAAGTCTTTTTTGATATTTACTAAACTTAGCCAAAGATAATTTAAAAAAAAAAAAAAATCAAAACTAGCATAGGAAAATTGTGTTGCACCAATCTTCTAGAAATGACCTACCAACATTGAAAATCAGTATTATGAAATGTTGACTTTTATCTGGGCTTGAACACTGATAACCAGTAACAGTAAGAAAATAAACCAATACCTAACCCTTGAGGTTATCTGTTTCAGCTGCTTGTATTTATTTTTTTTTTTTTTACTATTAAAATTTTCAAATGGTACTTTCATGACAATCTTTGCAGGCAAATATTTTGTTATACTATATTGGTAGGAATTAAGGGACATCAGCACATCTCTTAAAAGCACAAGCTCAAACACATAAATGCACACATGAAAATGCACACATGAAAATGCACACATGAAAATGCACATCTGTGCATGCACATGCACACACACACACACAGATGAATCATGAGAGGGAACTATTCAACTGAGAACAATTGGCAACCTCTCACCAAGTGAAGCAATTAACCCCAAATTATTTCTAGATGTCTTTATATATAGTAAGGCATGAAATCAGTTTTAGAGTTTGATGATGTCTACAGATCTAACATCTTTCTCCATATTTAAAATTTAACATTCTGCTATTTCAAGCTGTCTCTATTTGACATCAGATTTCTTTCTGCTCTACATGACACAAGAAGTGTTTGATTCTTATGATATTATACAAAATATAGCAAAAATACCTCCTACATAATTGTATGACATTAGTGACAATGGTGTCTTCATCTAGCTAATGTCTTAACATTATGTGTGAGGTATTTCTGAGGGCTATATGTGGGCTGTATTTCTGCTGCACCCTTTATCTTGCATGTATTTGGGCAGCAATTCATTCATTTGTGCCAATTTGGCTAAAAACTAATGAAAGTTCTTTTTTTTAAGATTCTTTAAATTTTTTCTTTGGTTTGAACCATTTTCCTGTTTTCTGACAAGAGTTTGGATATAAATTGTTCAATGTCTTCTGAACATTTTCAATTTCCTCAAGTCATTATCAAAAAATGCTTTGTGAGTTGATAAGATTGTATTTCTTTGATGATCTTTGAATGTCACATCTTCAGGAATTAATTGGGATTGTATCATTTTTCTCTTGAAAAATACCATCAAAGAAACATGATGCATGCCTATAAACATAACCCTATCAGCTCACAAACAATTCTTTGATAATGGCTTATAAAAGATGAAAGTGTTCAGAAAAGATTGGGCAATTTATGCTAAATTTTCCCCTAGAAACCAGAAAAATGGTGCAAACCAAAGGAAAAATTTAACAAAGAACAATCATTAGTCTTAAACAAAATCTAATGCTATATATATATGGGATGTGGATATATATATATATATATATATATATATATATATATATATATATATATATATATATATATATATGGGACATGGATTACTATATATATATATATATATATATGCACGGCAGATTTTGTTTATGATTGATAACATCTCAATGTCAACACCACCTACAAACCTTCCTCATTACCGATGATGTCACATTGGCAAATCCAACTCTGCAAGCAAGTGACTCCGATCCCACAAGCAGTGACTCCGACTCTACAAGAAACCTACAAGCATGCAACCTACTCAGGCTACTACCATTTCATAGAAAACCGGTCAAACAGCTACACCATTCTTGTTACCTTGGCAACCCACCGCCAGCACCTCTACATACTTGGCTCACTACTCCCTACTCTTTGCAGTCATCACCACAGCCCCATTTCATAGAACAGGCCTATCAGCTATGCCAATCCTTCATCACCTTGACAATCAATGCACCTTACCATGAATTAACACATCACCATGACCTCAATCAACCAACATGTGAAAAACAACCATATCCTCTGACCTTGGTCAAATCAACACAAGCAATAGGTCAACTCCCAGTGCTACTCTTACATCTGATCACCATCATGACAATCAACAATAGAAATTTTCCCACAATGCTGTAAGACACCCTATATATTAAACAAATATACATTGTTCAGAAACCTAATCCTCATTATTCCTTTCCTCTCACAACCAAATGTTTATTATAACAATAAGGTGTTGAGTATTGTGCTTAAAGTTGTGAATAAACTGTGTGAAGTTTATATTTTGTTATTTTTGTTCAAGTACTTTTTGACTTTTGCAGTCATTATCAAGCACTGATGTGGTATCTATATGGTAGAATTCCTTTGTCTGCAGCCTGGTATACTTTGGGAAGCTGGATGTTTGAAATCATCTAGCATGACTATTATACAAAATAAATAGCACACATTAATTAAAATATCATTCACCACAGGAGAAGGCATCTTGAAATATATATGATATAATTAATATGCACACATATTTTATCAGTATTATAATAATAATAATGATAATAAAATAAAATAAAAATAAAAATTTAAATTAAATTAATAAATAAATAAAGCATATTCTTTTTGTGAAGCCTTGTTCCCAAACAAACCATTACACATGACATCATGCCAGACTATTACAAATGTCCAGCTTCCCAAAGAATACTGAGATACTGACAAAAGAATAAGCTACTACACAAACACCACATAGGTTCTTGATAATGACTGCAAAATTTGAAAGTACTTGAACAAAAATAACAAAATATGAACTTCACACAGTTTATCCACACCTTTGGGCACACTACTCAACAATATCCAAAAATTCAAAAATGCAATAAAAACAGACAGATCTTGTTCATTCTTTTTAATCAAACTTGTTTGGATATATATATATATATATATATATATATATATATATATATATATATATATATATATATATATATATGAGAATATGGGGAAATCCAATCATTTTGATAAGAGGTGGTAGCGTGTTCATTTATACGGATGACTATTATATCAAATATGAGTTACTTTCGAAAAGAGGTTAAGTCTAGGTAGGGTAGGGGTCTCTTTTTCAATGAATTATAACATCCGTTCAATGCATGTCATCTGGTTTTTATCAATGACAAAAATTTTTCAGCATTTTTTCCATTAAATTTGTATTTGTATTGTAAAGATTCTTTCTAAAAGGGATGTTTAGATTAGAATACGTTGTATTGAACTACAATTTTTAAATATTATTTTTAATTATAATTACTCGTAGACTATACTTCTTTTTAAAACAAATAAATGTAATAGAATTACTTAAATTATTTAAAAATTATTATTAATTATCAAATGTAAGTATGTATATTTCTTCTATCAGCTTTTTTTTTAAACATTATTTAAGGAAAATCTTTGACAATGTCGGCAAAGAGTGGCAATTTCATTTCTTTGATTCAGTAAATTTTCATTTTTTATAAACCTAGTAATATATAGTTTCTTGTGTATGCACAAAGGACATGGGTCATTTAATGACCTACATATTCTAGCTTACTGTAGGTGTTTTATTGGTTTCTTTTAAGTGCCACAAATATTTTGATAGGGATGTCTGATTCCAGTATTTATTTATTCTGAAAGAACCTTAATGTTGATGAATCTTTTTTTGAACTCATGCCTTGTGGATCCAATATAGACTTTTACATTGTCTGGATCCTCAATAGATGAGATATTGCATTAGTATACTAATGATTCCATGCAGCATTTATTCTTTAGAGGACAGTTATGAGGATTTCTGCAGTTACATAATTTTTGTTTATCTTCATCTTTTTTTATTTTTATACTATCTAAATTTCTTTGGTCTTGGTTTAAGTGTTTATTCAAGATATTAGCATTATGTTTTTTAATAATTTTTTCTAAGTTTTGAGTACAGTTGTAACTTAATTTTAGGGTATTTTTATTGAAAATAGTACTGAGTTTACTATCTTTAAGAAAATGTTTAACAATTAAAGCAAGAAATTTTTGTCCTAAATTATTCTTAACCATTTGGTTGTATGGGGGTGTATACCAAATTATTTTTCTGCTTCTGTTTTTCTCTATGTTTCCCATTTTCATTTTTTATGCAAGTTAGTTTTGGGCTTTTGTAGCCACTATCTTTTAGCACTTTATTATAGAAATTAGTATGTTCATAGAAAATCTCATTTGCTGAATTTGTACTTATTCTTTTTTCAATAGATAAAGGTATATGCTTAATTATAGATGGAGGATGATTAGATTTAGGGTGTGTATGCAAAGGATTAGTATTGGGTTTTTTATAAGGTATGTATACATTTTTCATTAAATTTAATGTTATATCAAGGAAGTTCACTTTTTTCAATTTAGTGCTTACCGTAATTTTAAGTTCAGGCATTTAAATTCTCTATATAATATCTTTCTAATGTTATCGATTTTAAAGTTAGTAGAGTTCTTTATAACCATTATTCTTTATAACCATAATTGACCTTAATAACCTTGTCTCATAACCCACAATCTTGTATCCAATGTGGTCTTGTCTGTAAATCTCTTGAAAGGCTAAAGTGTCATATTCAACATTAGCATCTATCAACTAACTTATAAGCTGCTGGACACTCATACGTCAAATACAACAGTAGAGTGCATTATATATATATATGCCATTATTAGGCAATAGATAGATAGATAATGAAGTGCAGGAAAGATAAACTTTAATGGAATGGAGCATGAAATCAGAACACCAAGTTCAAGCTTCATCTAGTGCAGTT